TGCCTCCGCTGGTTCCTGCCAGTCCCTCAGCTCACCTTCAGTCAGTGCCATCTGGGCACTCTGATCCGCCTCGGGACTTCCAGTCTCCAGCTCCGCCTAGGCATGAGGATCCCTTGTCTCCACCTCCAGCCTCCGAGACCTGGACTCCTCCTCTGTCCTCCAACCCATCAGCTCCACCTTGGCTCACTGCTCCCTCGTCTCCACCGTGGCCCATCATCCCACTGGCTCGACCGGGCTCCCTCATTCCTCTGGCTTCGCCTCAACATTCTGTCCCTCTAGCTCGGTCAGGTTCCTCCTTCCCTCCGGCTCCGCCTTCGTCCTCAGTCGCTCCAGCTCCGCTGTGGTCTTCCGGATCCCTGCCTTCTCCTTGGTCGCCTGAGCCTTCAGCTCCACCTTGGCCCTCTGGATCCTCTGTGTCGCCCTGGCCCTCCGTCTGCTCAGCTCCACCTGGGTCTCCACCTCTTGCGGCTCAGTCTCCGTCAGTCGGCCCCTGGTGTTGTCGGCCCCTTCTCCACCATGGCTCCTCCCGTCGTCGACTCCACCGCTATCCTGGCTGGCCTCTGGATCTCCATCTGGCTCCTCCTGCTCCGGGCTCCTCCCTCCTTCTACTCCACCCTGGTCTTATGAAAATATGCCCCTTTCCCATTGCCTGCCCCACGCCCGCCTCCTGAACCCCCACCCTCCCTCCTCTATTGGATTGCTTATAGGCGCGAGGACGCGCCTTCCGGGAGGGGGGCGAACTGTCAGGTTTATGAGCTTTAGTTTTGTCTTTTTCTGTAACATGTCTGCCTGTTCTGTGTTTCCATTGTGTTTTGCTTCAGTCCCCGTGACCTAGTTTTCCTTGGTTGCCCTGATTAGTTCATTCTGTTCACCTGTGTTCATTCTATTATGTCATTAGCCTCTCACTTGCATTTGTATAAATTCTCCGCATTTCTGTTCTGTCCTGGTACGTTATTATTTTGGTCTACACGTTGTGCTACCCCAGCTCCTCGATTCCTTGTGTTTGCTTTGTGGATTATAATAAAAGACTGTTATTGGATTACTTCTGCATCGTGCGCCTCCTTAGAGCACAGCTAAGTGACAGGAACATACTGATGACTAGGTGGGCAATCTGGCAGAGGACTCTCTGAGGCACCGGCTTCGAGCTTGTCTTGGACCCATCAGATTGGGCTTAAAGTCCCCTTTGAAAAGAGAATATCATTTTGGGATCCTTGGGAGATTCTTCTGAAGAGTGAATTCTTGACAAGGCATCAGCCCCTCCAATTTTTGAACCAGGTCGATAAGAGATATGAAAATCAAATCAGGTAAAGAAGAGGGCCCAGTGGGCTCGGTGAAGATTGGGTCATTCGGCTTCTCAGAGGTATTGAAGATTTTTATGATCCGTGAGCAAAGTAAAAGAATAGAGAGCCCCTTCGTGCCAGTGCCTTTCTCCAGAACAAGAAGGTAGATATCTTCCTAATGAAACTGATTGACACTAATTTTCAACAGGACCAACTTTTCAATAGGAAGAATCGCAGACAACTCTGCCTTGTCTACAAACTATGTCTCACAACCAAACACACAAGAATTGATACAGGAAATAGCCTAACGTAAGATCATGTGAGAGACAGGCATTCTCATGCATTTTGTTCTATGAAGATGCCTGATTTTCCATTTTCCCTCCAAAAGGGTTCTTTCTTCTTTAAGACAGGGCTACCCATATTATCCTGTGGCCACAACCACCTCACACAGACATTCTGTGCTTAGGTAAAGCATTACTCTTATAGTTTTCTTTCTTTATTTTACAAATATAGTGCCACTTGTCACTGGAACAAACAATATCCAGACCAAACGTACAGCACAACTGTCAGCCCCCACAGGGTCAGAAATAGTGATGCACGGATGAGCTAAAACGTCACCCGAATCTGCAGCCTCAAATAAATAATCCACCTGCCCGCATCTATATTTTTCTCTTATTTAGATAACCGCACCCGATCGTCACATTACAATGATTCAAATTTTTAGTTTTGCATGATGATATGATGAATGGATGGTTCATTTTTAACAGCAGATTCAGTGACGTTAGAGCTGATCTGTGCATCACAGCACACGTCTGTGGTGCTTTTATGGCTCCACAGGCACCAGAGCTGATCGCGGCCACTCTAGTCAGTGCTTGTGTTACTTGTCTGGCAGTAATGAAGTGTTAATGTTGAGCCTTGGAGTGTATATCTGTAATTGGCTACATTGCTTAATGCTGTAAAAACACCCTTTACGCTCTCCTAAAGCATATTTAAAAGATGTGTGATCTACCAGTATTACCTTTGCGACTAACTGGTAGATCGCGATCGACCTATTGGGCACTGCTGCCCTACACCATGGAGGAGACTGTATAATATGCATATTTTTGTCTTTTTTTTTTTGGCCACCCCAAAGAAATCACTTGGTCTTAACTGGCCACTCCTGAAAAAAAGTTCTGGCTATGCCCCTGCCCCTGCCCCTGTCAGTAGCTCATATTTAGGTGATCGCATAGAGTGGCAGTAGGCTATGCTTCAAAGTAGGAAAAATGAACAGTATCTTTTATATTTCCTCCGTGAAAATCTTTATACAGTAAGAGTAATGCACACGGGCTTCACTGAATACACCTTGCATCTGTTGATTTCATCTTATGTGTGGATTAGCCTATTTGGTTTTATTTGCTGTGTATCTCCAGTTTCAACCAGGGGCGTGTCTAGAGCATTTTAAATGGGGGGCCAGTCGGGGGCACTGGCTCAAAAGAGGGTGGCCGGGGGGGGTTGTGATTCGTCCTCGCGCACATGGATTGCGTAACATTATGCGCTCTTGACATTGTCATTAAGATCACACTATAGAAACCGCCTAAAATTAGAAATGTACTAAAAACAAGCCTATGGCAAGACATCTGTTGGGGGGGGGGGGGCCCCTGGGGGGGCCAGACAAATTTCAGGGGGGGCCGGTGCCACCCCTGGCCACCACGTAGACACGCCCCTGGTTTCAACAGCTCTGATAAGTAATAAACAACGTGATATGTGGCTGGCCAATGTTAACTTTTGAGCATTGGCCAGCCACATTTGAGGCCATTGTAAAATACTCTATAAAACACACACGTGACATCATTATATCAGTATTATTACATTTGTGTGTTGCTAAACATTCTGCTAAGCATTGCTTTGCAATTTGCCTAATAACACCCCTTACCTGTTGTAAAATCACTGTAAACCATGGCTTCTTAGGGCCTATTGCTTTATTAAAACATAATAATTTAAAATGTAGTTTTAAAGTAACACTTAATTTTTTAAACACAGTAATGAAAGTATAAGTGGCCATTTCATTAATATTATATTATTTGCAAGTACAGGTTTTTTGAATATACTTTTAAGATTTGTAGTATAAGTGTGCATTCAATACAGTTATGCACACTTCTTTTTCACAGTAAGAGTTTTACAGTTGAAGTCAAACACTAAGGACAACCAACTACTCAGAACATTCCAGCTTTGTGGTGGTGAGTTGTGCATGGCCACGCACATGTTCTTCAGAAAATGTGAAAATGTTGTTACACATTGTAGTTTGTATGACTAATTGTGAGACTACATGGAATATTTAAAGACTATTTCAGTCAACTGCAAAAAAAATAAATAAAATGAACCAAAAATAAAATATTAATACCTAAAATAATAAAATAACAAATTACAATTACAATTAAAACAACGAAGAACTAGCTTCATTTTAAATGTCTGGATGCATTTAATAAATTATTTGATTGATTTAAGATGACTGCTACAATACAAAACGTCTGTACATCAGACATTATAAATGAAGGTAAGGTTTTACCTGTCTCTGAAACCATTTTAAATCAGATCAGTGAAGTCCAAGCGAGCTGGTTTCAGAAAACTCTGCTGTAGTTTTCCAGATGTGTTGGCTACCATTTGTATCAATTACAGCAGTGCAAAATGTTCTGGTCAAGGACAACACATTGTTCCTACAATGTTGATCTGCACTGTAAGTAGTTTACATTTTAAATAAGTTCATTATCTTCATATTTACTTCTCTGGGCTTGGAAACAGCTGTTTATTAAGTTATTCAAGTTCTTCTGAGGTATCAATCCTAGGTTTCCTTATAAAGTGCTGCATTAACTGGACTCTATCACCCTCTGCTGGAGAAAACATAAAGCACAGGCTCCCTGTTGTGACTGTCAATGAATAAAGTTTTTTTTGCTCATATTTTTGCTCAGCCTTGGACACTCCCTGTAAAATTTACAAGTATTAGTACTTGTATTAAATAAATAAAGACACAACAGGATTTTGATTATAACAGTCTATTTATGGAAGCACACTTCCGTAATAGAGTGCAACAAAGTTCGGTAAAGAGAGAGCAGATAGATCCTCCCCCTACCACTTACATAAATACAGCCTGATACATAAATAAATAGCTAGCACCCTTTCCACAAGGGTCTGATATACATAGAGAATCACACTTTAAGTGCAAAAGTCTATTTTGATTGCCTTCATTTAACAGGATTGATAGAGTACCTACAATAACATTTGTAAATGAAAAATAACAGCATGTTGTATAACAAATAACTCTGAGCTACTGTCAGAAATCTCTGAGCACGATGGTTAGGTTTCATTGTTTTAACCATGCAGCAAATAATCCAGGTCAGGTGATATTATAATGCAATAGTTGAGCAGCACAAGACCTAGGCTGCATTTCATAAATGTGCTACTTTGTCAGTCTTACACAATTTTTTGGATATGAATGCACAAGTCCTAATGTAGTGCTTTATGTGTTCGAAATGTTAACAAAAAGTAGGACGATATTGATGAACATACGTAATATCACAGAGGCAAGAGGAAAAGAAAAAATACCATCGAAACTTTTCTAAAGACAGCAAGTTCCCCTCAGACATACAATCATATAAACTCATACCCCTAATTGTATCGCGATTTGTTTAGAATCTCAACCGATTTAAATCATCACATATTTAAATCGATTTTCAACCGGCTCGCGGTTAATCGTTACATCCCTAATCATGACAAACATTAAAATAAGGAAGCACTGGATTTGATAGTGACATGAGAAACATCACAACATTTTTGGTGTGGGTTGGTCACTTCAACATTTCACTTCAATTAAAACAAGATTAAAAATGGGGAAAATAAGAAATCTGAAAGCGAAACATTTACACATACAATATAGTGATATTATAAACCAGCATATTGGCACCACTGGTTAATTATTGTGCATATTAACCTATGGCTAAGTGTTATTACACAGTTATTAAAGATTAATAGGTGTCGCAAAAACACAGCAAAACGTGGTTTGCATTTGACTTACAACTAGAACGGGTTGTTTGGGAGGTAGATCAAACAATAAATGGCAAACCAGAAACCAAAACAAACAACTAATTTGGTTTACATGTAAATGTGAAAACAGAATATGTAAGAGCTATATGTTTATGTTGCATATTTGTAACCAGACCTGTCAGTTATATGAGATGTTTAAGGTATTTTCCATATTTTATATACATAAAGCTACTATTATGAGCTTGTTTTGCCTGCAGTAAGCTGTGCAACAGTAAGCCTTATCATAAACTGCCTACAATTGATTGCTAAATCTAAAATTCTACAGATATATTTTGGTACTGATTGACTGAAATGTTGACTTCATTATTTGAGACAAAACACAACAAGAAACGTATACATTTGGTAAAATCAAACAAAAGTTCAACTCAAAGCATAAATAAAAACAAAACCAAAAGCAACAATTTGGTTTGACAAATAGCATTTTCAAATATTTGGATTCTCTACTCTTAAGCTTTCGCTATTTTTGGCCATGACTACAGATCCTGGATGTGCACTAGTGCATGAGAGTACAGCTCAAAGAGAAGGGGTGGGCAAACCAAGTGCTAGTATTGCATATGGTTTCACAGGAGCGTGAAACGAAAAGGGGGGTCGGGGTAAGGGAGAGCTGTGAATAGCTGGCTGGTGAAGTTGCCGGGCAGGGAGAGATGTAATTGGTTATCTCACACTTTGGGACATGTGCAGTGGAGTCAGCATCTCCTCAAAGATGGCTCCTTTCACATTTGAACCACGCAGGTTGGCTTCCTGTAGATCGCAGCCTGAGAGATCGCAGTTCTGCACACATATGAAAGAAAACATTTGTGGCATTCTTTTCAGTGTTATAATATGAGGAATGTGGCTACATGCCACAAAATCAACACTGTTGACTCACCTCGAGATCTGTGCCGGCTAATGTAGCACCACGCAGGTTACAGTTCTTTAGCTTAGCATTCTTCAGCGTCGCCACACGCAGGTTTATACCAGTCATCTGACTGCCCTCCATGTCAACTCCTTTCAGATTAGCCCCTAAAGCACACAGTGAATACACTAATTAACCAAACGCAAACACAAAACATGATAATGCAACATAATGTGGCATCAGTGTCAGTTTCATTAGCAATGACTAGTGTTGTCACAAAACCAGTATGTCAGTAGTTTGTACCAATTTCCATACCACAGCAAAAACTCTTGTAATACTTTAAAACATATACACTATATGGACAAAAGTATTGGGACACCCCCTTCTATTGAATAGGTTTGACTACTTTAGTAATTAACATGAGTACAAATCTTAATGTTTAAGCATATAATGCTATTCTAGGGAATTGTGTGCTTCTAATTTTATAGCTACAGTTTTGGACAGAACCCTTTTCTATTCTAACATGACAATGCCTCTGTGTATAAGGCAAGGTTCAAAAAGACATGACTGATTCAGTCAGTGTGGAAGAACTTGACCGGTCTGCAGAAAGCAAAGTCCTAATCCCAGCTGAACACCGCAGGTGTGAATTTAAATGCAGACCAAAAACTAATCACCAAACACCAATAACTTGTACATATACTATATAGACAAAATTATTGGGACACCCCCTTCTTTAGAACAGAAAAGGGCACTTCCAAAACTGTGGCAACGAAGATGGAAACATAATTCATGCCTTTAAAAATTGTATTTCCATCTCTGTTGCAACAGTTTTGGAAGGGTCTAAAATGACTGCACCCATATGTACAAGTACCCATTGGTGTTTGGTGATGAGTTTTTGGCTCCTGGAGAATGTTCTTCACTTGGCTGGATGCTGTGAAAGGGTTTTTCTTTACCATGGAGAGGATTCTCCGATCATCCACCACTGTTGTCCTCCATGGATGTCCAGGCCTTTTTTATGTTGCTGAGCTCACTAGTGCGCTCTTTTTTTCTAAGAATGTACCAAACTGTTGATTTGGCCACTCCGAATGTTCCAGCTATCTCTCTGATGGATTTGTTTTGATTTTGAAGCCTAACAGCTGTCTGTTTCACTTGCATGAAGAGATCCTTTGACCGCATGATGTGGGTTCACAGCAACAGCTTCCAAATGCAAATGGCACACTTAGAATCAACTCCAGACCTTTTACTTGCTTCGTTGATGTAGAAATAACGAAGGAATAGCCCACGCCTCTCCATGAAACAGCTTTTGAGTCAATTGTCCAATTACTTATGGTTCCTTGAAAAAGGTAAGGTAAGGTAAGGTATCATGATATCGCGATAGCAAAACTGTCTCGATATTATCGTGGTCACATGACGATATGAAACGATAGGTCTTCTGGGCAAAAAGAGTAGTTTTTAAATTAATTTAAACTTCTTATTCAAGCATAAAAAATCTTTAAATTTGTGTTTTGGGCCGTTATGCTTTGACACAGTATCTGTCCAACGAACTAAAACCAAAAGCACAATATAGCTTAATCCTTAATCCTAATCAAGTCTGTTTTCGCTGCGTGTTTCAAAGCGAAATGCGCACATTGTTGAAGCAATCAGCTCGTGATCCGGTGTTTTCCGCGCCTCAGTTTCATAAACAAGGCTGTTTTCGGAGAGAATCGTAAAGCTGTATCTTTCTTTTATAAATTTGATAAAACTAAAGACTTTTTGAAGATATGAAGGATGCAATACTATATTAACATGAGATTGGGTGAAACTGTGTGTGTTATGTCCCCTTTAAATATCACAATAAACATTGTATTGTAGACTTCATATCGCGATATTATCATATCGTGAGATTTTGATATCGGTACATCCCTAATATAAATATATATATATATATATATATATATATATACTGTTTTGCAAGAGTGTGGGGAGATTGACTTGATTACATCATTCGTGGTGCATCATGGGAGTGGGCGGAGCTAAAGAACTTGTTTGGCATGATTTACTCGCTACGTCTTTCTGATTGGTGGAATTTTCTTTACAGCATCATGGGTAATGTAGGTTTTAACAGGAATTCTGCTGTTAAATACAATAATTGAAAGCATAAGTTCATATAATGTGAACTGATGGCTTCAACAAAAGCATAGACCATCGATTAACAACCTTTATCGGTCTTTAAACGTTTATCAGTTACCATTAAAAATCAATTTCCCTATGCAGAAAACAAATGGCATTGTTATCAGAACCCAACTGTTATACTCTATTGTGAAACAATTGGTGAGTGTGCAGAGTTCACGCTGACTTAAAAGCCTCTGTCTGGCTACAATGCTAAATGCTGCAAAAGTGTTGAAAAAAAAAGAAACTGTTGATGCTATTCACAGACAGCTCACGCAACTACAGGAGTGTTTTACAGCAGCCGCCTCTCAGCCGTTACTGCATCAACTCTGAACTTGGTACTACCCATAATGCGGAAAGGCTGGTATTGATACAATTTGAAAATTTAAGTATCAACATGGTACCAGTACTTTTGACAACACTAGCAATGACTACTATGAAAGTGAAACTGAAAGTGAAAGTATATATATGTAATGTATATAATATATGTCATTTTATTTATACAGCTAAACAATGGCTTCTGTGTGCAGTTTTACCCTCTAGATTGGCCTTGAGCCCAGAGGGATCCTCAAAGTTACATCCTTTCAGTGACGCTCCCTCTGCATTAGAGCACAGCATCTTCACGCCCTGAAGATTAGCACCCTGGAGAACGGGCAAGAAAGCGAGAAAGCAAGGCTTTATATCAGTTCAAAGGGATTAAAACCAGAAGAAGAGATAAAAAAAAGTGATAAAAGTTTTGATCAGCTCACATCCAGGTTGGCTCCAGATAAGTCCGCTCTCTCCAGGTTTGAGCAGCATAGGTTTGCATAGGTGAGATTGCAGCGACTCAGATTTGCCATCTTAAAATTGATATAGCGCAAATCCAGCCGAGAAAGGTCCGCTCCACTGAAATTAAGACCCTGAGAGGGAAAGAGGAAAAAAGACACCTTAATGCCAACATCAAACTGACTAAAACACACGTCTGAACAATTCCAGAACAAATGCCTTCTACCTGACAACGTAGCTCTGATTTGGTTGGAGTAGCCAGCAGAAACCGAACAAATTCTTTCCGTGAGAGTGGAGAGTGGTCTTCAGGTGGATGAGAATTCTGCATGCCATAGAAAAGAAAAGAAAAAATTAAATGAATAATCATATGCATATAGAGAACCTTTCAAAAGCTTGGGGTCAGTAAGATGTTTTATTGTTGAAATAAATTATTAGTTTTACTCAGCAAGGACACATTAAATTCAACAAATGGAAGAGTAAAGACATTTATATAATGTTACAAAAAAAATCATTTACTAATAAATGCTTCTTTTAAACTTTCTATTCATCAAAGTTGTGTATCACGGTTTCCACAAAAATATTAAGCACAACTGTTTTCAACATTGATGATAAGAACCACTTCTTGAGCATCAAATCAGCACATTAGCATGATTTCTAAAGGATCATGTGACACTGAAGACTGGAGTAATGATGCTGAAAACTCAGCTTTACGTCACAGGAATAAATTAACTTTTTATATAAAAATAGAAAACCGTTATTTTGAATGGTAATAATTCAGAATATTACTGTTTTTACTGTATTTTTCATTAAATAAATGTAGCCTTGGTGAGCATATCTTAAAAAACTTACTGACTCTAAACTTTTATATAACAAGAATCACTTTAACACTTCCGTTCTATTACCTTAACGGCGACTTCTAGCTGTTCAGCCATTTGCTCTATTCCAAAGAATCGAGCTTCTTCCAGTACTCCTATAAAACATAAAAAGCATTCCACTATAACTATAAAATGAAACTGATTTGGGATATGGACACAAAAAGATGTTTATTATTAATTATAATTAATTATTAGATCGTTTTTTTATGCTGTCTTTATCATATTAATATTGCTGTCACTTTATAAAAACAGTGCATTGTATTTCAGTGATTTACAGTACCAAGGTTAAACGTATTGCATTAATCTACACCCCAGGCTCGAATGTACAGTATATATAACATCTAGTATTAAATTTATATTATAAGCTACATGGGAGCTATCCATTTGCTCTATTCCAAAGAATCGAGCTTCTTCCAGTACTCCTATAAAACATAAAAAGCATTCCACTATAACTATAAAATGAAACTGATTTGGGATATGGACACAAAAAGATGTTTATTATTAATTATAATTAATTATTAGATCGTTTTTTTATGCTGTCTTTATCATATTAATATTGCTGTCACTTTATAAAAACAGTGCATTGTATTTCAGTGATTTACAGTACCAAGGTTAAACGTATTGCATTAATCTACACCCCGGGCTCGAATGTACAGTATATATAACATCTAGTATTAAATTTATATCTAATAAGCTACATGGGAGCTATCATTTGAAAATGCCTTTAGTAACATTCAGACGTCACTCACCGAGTAAGTTTATTCCTTCATTGACAATGATCTGGCCGTGCCTCAGGTAATTCAGGATAGGCTCAAAGTACTCTGGGCTGCGATCAATGAGGTAAGCCCCTCGTTCATCCTGCTTATTGCCCCATACGTCTGCAGATCAAGAAAGAACTCTGAACTGTGCTACACACTGATTCACAACCTGATGAACTAGCAAAACAAACAATACCTAAATCAGTCAGTGAGTGAACATGAGCTATATCTTACCCTTCTCTCTAAACATGTGTGCCAGCATGCTGTCAGGCTCCTTACTCACAAGAGTACTCCTTAAACAAGAGGAAACAGTGAGATCAGACTTTATTAATGACATCTCAAGGACAGACCACTAAGCATCTGCAGACTAGTATTATTTTAGCATTATTTATATACTACTAAAATATGTATTATTTAAAAAAACTAATTTTAAAATTTTAGTAAGTTTATTATGTGCTTATTTGTATTTAGCTTTAATTATTAATTAAGTTTGAGTCTAATATTTCTATTTTATTTTCTATATATAATATACTTTTATTTTACATTATTTTACATTTATTTTATTTTCAGCTTTATTTTAATTAACAAAAAAAAATATATATACTTTTACTGCTGTAAACACCAAAAATGTTTTTTATTTTATTATTATTTTTTTTATCTATATCAATGTGCCAAACTTGATTAGCAAATGATAAACTTGAGTTTATCAAAATTGCTGTTCACAATTTTGCAGATTTTACTATGGTTGAGACTTTTTCTTGCCTAAAAATACCATAACCATTTTTAAAGCACAGACTTTTAAGCCTTTTGCTTTATTTTCTCTCTCATATTTTTACTTACAAAAATATGTATTAACGGTAGTTATAATAGATTAGAACTAGATTAATAAATTAGATACTTCAATGGATTTTAAGCCAATGAGACGAACCCATGGTGCATGTTTACCTAGTGGTTGTGAAAAGCCGCCCACCAATATTCAGCGTCAGCCAATCAGTGTGCGATCCTGAGATGTCATCTGACGTTTTCCCATCACTCTGAGGGTCTAAAACACAAACACATTCATAGGTTTACACACTGAACTATAAGTACACTTTTAGTTTCACTGAATAATGTAAATACAGGTTTATACTTTTATGGAAAGCGACTTGTTATTTGTTTGTGTTCCCTGGGAATCCCATGACCCTGGCGTTCCAAGTGGCATAAAGTGGAAAAAAAAATGATGTTAACTCACCAATGAAAGCGTCCCTTTCTGACACGTACAGCACATCATCATCTCTGTGGAATATATACACAATAACCAGTTAGTTCATCCGGCATATTATCTCTCATTTGCCTGTCCCACTCAAGAATCAAGTACAAGTCTCACTGTAATCATAGAACTCAAAGCAGCTCAAACTGAGAATATTAATGTATTTTTCAATAATGTTCCCACCATTGTCTCTCCAAAATAACAAATAACTTAAAAATGTAAATGCAGCACACCTGATGAGGGCAATGTCATCTATGAGACCACCTTTCCCATTATATAGGTTACAAGCCCTGATTCCTAATTTATTGCTGGCAACTGTCAAAAGATCAGACAGCGTCCCATAAACAGCTACAACCTGCAAAAGAAACAAATGCATGATGATGCAATTAAAATGGTAACGTTTGCAATAATTACAATATTTTTTATTAGAATAATTATTGCAAGTTGTGTGAATGGTAATTGTGTCATTATTGAAGTTGTGTGAATAACGTAAAGTGAATAAAGCAATTAATACGTTTCACTATTATTGAGTATTTTATATATAATACAATTTTTTATTATAAAATACATCAGAATAAAAAATATATAATATAAATAATTTACTACATGTATATTGACATTCATTGGCTTGCTACTTGCTGTTGGTAATGTCAGTACAATACAGAAAATGCAATTGTGAGGTATAATAAACAATAAGGTTAAAATAATAGAAAAGCGAGCTCTTATTTGGCCTTACCCATGTCGTCAGGAGTAAAATGATAACTCAAATCTTTAGAGTGGCACGCTATCTAATAGTTTTCTGTATCTTTACTAAATAAAGTGAGATACTAGGTTTCATGCATTAACAGGACATCACTGTCCCCCTCAACACTGACTGGAGTTGGGCAGGCTAAACGTGCACTGCGTGTGTTCACTCACCTTGCCATTTTTGGAGGTTCCGTTGACAAAAAGCGTCACCCTTCGCATGCTTTGTTTACACTAATTAAACGTATCAACTGTACAAATATTAATAAATGAATATCTCGCTAACTTATCTACGTATTAAACTAATACCTACGTAAAGAGAGTAGGAAGAACCAACCTAGCAACATTGTAGCAAGACGACGAAGCAGCTGTCCAATCAAAACGCGGATACTGTTGCCGACCTCCTAGATTGGCCAATCACAGGACGCGTTTCATAGACTGGGCCCGCGGTTCGGACCAATCGGACACAATTGTGACTCTTTAATGAAAAACTTGCCTGTGAGAACGGAATTTTGACGCAAGGGAAATGATTACCTCAGTGACTGCGGGCTGCTGTAAGTTAAACTACTCATTCATTTAGGACTGCGGGTTCAAATGTGCAAGTCAAGCCTAAGTAGTATTGCAAAATGAATCACAGATGTCTAATTCTGTAATTTATATAATTTAAAGTCTCTAAAAATATACAAATTCAAAAGATCATTTTACTTTTGTGCAAATGGATTAAATTGAACTGCATTCGATGGTTTCAAGTTATTAATGCATGTTGAGCCTTTTTTGTACACTAGAGGGCAGAGTAAACAATTTTGGGTTAAAATAATCACATGATTCTTGATATTAATTATTAATATCTCTAGTTTATATATGGTGCTTGTTCTTATCCCCTTATGCTATTTATATGTGTAATTGCATATAGATAATATGTATTTAAGTATACACACACACACACACACACACACACACACACACTTTCGGGAATGGGATCTGGTTTGCGTCACATGCTGTGGGGCAGAGGAAGGGAAGCCACAATTTAGGTCCCCACCGTGACACGAGTCCCCATGAGTCTGTGTGTAGTCAGGTTTAAGTCCCCACCAGAATATATAAACCAGTACACACACACACACACACACACACACACACACACACATCATATGTATAAATAAACCACATGCAATCTAAGCCGGAAACTGTATGTTCAAGAACTAATAATGGAACCTTATGATGTCCTATATAGCTGTCTATTGTCTATGAAAATTAGTCATATCTGCATAGCTGCTCACACTATTTGTTTACTTACATCTAATATATCTAATATTTCACATCTTAAATACAATGAAAAAAATTATAATATCCCAGTACCTCCATATCATCTTTTTTAAGTATTAAAAAAAATCCCCATAAGCTAAAACTAATATCATTACTTGGCCAACAGATTTGTTTGTCCTCCTATCTGCAGCATTTAGAAAAACTAAAACAGGACACATGCAGATTGCAGAAGCATTGATAAATGATGTTAAACAATAAGGCAGCGAGTGATAATATCCTGCTTAGCTGACTGATTCTTACATGGTGGCCCCAGTCTTATCTTCTGTAAAAAGCCTGTCTCTTCCAGAATGTCCCAATATGTCTGTAACTGCCCACATGCTCTGCAAACACATGGGGCTGATAATCACTTCTCTTGCAAACTACTGTTGACAAAATGTCCTTCAGGTACAGGGAAGTTTCCAGTTCTCCCTTAAATTCCCGTTCAGGTTATTTGGGTTGGGTATTTCCTTCTTGAAAATAAATTATATTAGGAGCCACTGAACACACACGGTATAGAGTGTGTTTTCTTTACAGAGATAATGTTATGGCCTATTTTATATTCAAACCCACTGTATGTAAGGTTTGTGCTCCTTAACTGGCCTTGCAAGACTTATTAGTTATGCAATCAGTAGGGATGTTACCCAGACTACGTTTAGTCTGATATTGTTTGACTAAACATTTAATCAGTTAAAGCACAGCTGTACCACAGTTCCATTTTGAGGTCTAAAATCATGAAAAATTAGTAGACATACACCAAATCCATTCTTTCTGTACCTTCATCTAAATATTAAGATGTGACAATGCACGTTAAAAGCCACATTATCTTCTGAACTGGACATGGAGCATAGCAGCAATACAATTTTGAACTTAAAAGGATTTGAGAAAAATTGCAAAATATTTCAGGAGAGGTAATAGGTTTGTCCTCTATGCACAAATAATTAACGGCATTTTCGACTAAAAATATTCTCAGACTAAAGCGAATATAAAAGTGGACATCCTCTATATTCAACATATTTTGTGGTTTTTCCTTATGTGCAAGGACATCATTCCAGCTTGATTTTCTGTCAGATGAGATAAATAAATTCTAAACTTGAACTTAAATTCAATAATGCAGCTCTTAACCATTATTTCTAGCCAGGGCCATGGGGTTTGGGGACACCCGGTGCAGGTTGTACCAGTGGGCCCTGTTTTAAATCATGTAAATAGCACAAATAAATAAATAGAACAAAGATACAAATTAAACAATGTTTATGGGGTTTTTTTCAAGTTTGTAGGTGTTCAGTAGGTCTTCACTGTATAAATTAAATATAGCTTAATTCTTGTTAAAAATAAAAGTTATTCAGTCAAGAGCAGTGAGTGATTTTCTCTCTTTTATTTTCTTGGATTAACATTAAGGACACTGACAGCAGGGGTGCAGATGGGATTTTTTAACTGGGGGGGGGGACCAAGCTGTCAGCAGTCACAATGTGAAGTGCACGGACTCCGAAGTGCGCATTTGAAGTGCGATTGCGTCACAGCGTCACGATGTAAGCTGTCCCAATTCAGGATGCACCCTCTGAAGACCGCATTCCAAGGCCGATTGCATCACCGTGGCGCGACGAAGGCTGACGTAATTCGAAAGCGACTTCAAATGCACCCTCCGTTTCCCAGAAAAATAAAGTGCACATCTGATGGACACTTTGCACCCTACCATATCGCAGAATCACTTGCGCGCAGATGACGATGGAATTTATATTCAAAGAACAGCGGGTGAGGGTTCTGTGGGGGAATTCACATTGAAATGTAAGTATTGTGTTTTCATTTACTCAAATACCTAGCAAAACAAGTGTTAAAAGCCAGGTTTTTTTTTTTAAAACAAAGCCCACAAACAATAAGACAACCACTATATAAGGCAATAGTCTTTCCCCTTGTTGTGTTTTTGTAGTGCTGTCATTCAAGATATGTCTACAAATGTTTTAACCAAACTTTAGCACTTCAGTATTTTGTATGCATGTCCTGCTGTGTCATATTTTCTAATGTTAAGATTGCAAACCTGTCTTTATATTTTTCATAAGCGTATCCATTTTCTCTTGTTTTAGGACTATTCTGGAGAAAATAAGCCTGCTGGGGAAAGACTTAAAAAATACAAAGTAAGCAAGTTAATACACACGTTTTGCTGAAATTCATTGTGCTGTTGTTAACAGTCATGGTTTATTTGCTCTGCCTTAGGATTGCGAGTGTCCTGGGACCGGTGAGGGAGTGAGTGGAAGCTGGTGGAGCTACTCAGGGAGGATATCAAACTCCAGAGAGAGACAGAGCAAGGAGAGAATGGAGGGACTGTTTTCTCTTCTTGAGAGAATGCTTAACAAATACATTATTTATTAACCATTCTCTATTAGACAAGAGAAACAGTGGAAAAAATGGGTACATTACAATTTTTCAATATATTTTTTGAAATGTCACATTGTCAATGAAACAACCTAACTTCTGTAGTTTATTTTTGTGAAGTTCAAAATGAAATGAAAATTTTTGTAGTGTAATTTATTTGTAAATGAGCTTGAGTACTTTCTGTACATTTTGTATTTTTGTTTTGCATATTAGCATGTGTAAATAAAAGAGAAGTAATTATGTACATTGTTAATTTTTTAATGCAGCTTATAATTTTTTCACAAAACATTCTTCTATACGTTAATTTTTTTTGTCCTGTAAATACATTTTTTTTTCACATTAAAACAAATTGTTCATACTCTAATATACTTAGTATTAAGAGTAAAAGTAAAGGTATACAGTATTGTTCTGAAAAAAGAATTTGTCAGGATGGTTTTGCATTAATATTACTGCTGCACTACTGTGTATGTTGCACTTTACTTCTGAATATGTTCAAGGTTATTACATTTAAAGTTGCCTACTAAATATACTGTTGGGTAGTTCAATCTACAACAATGCATCATGTTGTAAAATACCACATATGATCACCATGGTCAAGACAATAAACTATATAAAATCGCACCTTTGTAAGATATCGTCAGCATTTGAACTGCTGTGTGTGTGTGTGTATTTTGTAGTTTTTCATATGTATCATTACATTATTCAAGTAAGCTCTAAGCCAATACCTGCATTTAAAGTTGTAATCCGACAAAGGACGCAGCAAACCAGTATAACGTACCTGGCCTCGGTCTTGGCTAAGCCCGAGGTACATCACAGTCTCCTCCATTATGATGTAAAACATAAAAACATACCCCAGCAGGACCTCACCCCTATTTTGAAATCTCGTTGCCATGGTTGCGTACATATGTGTGGGGGGACACGTATGTACGCAACCATAGCAACGACGATCGCGGAAACAAGTGAAGATGGCACAAGCATATTCAAACAATAGCCAACACGGATAAGTTGTGTGAAACAAAGCAAAGTAAACGTTACTCACCTATCAAAAAGAAACAGCACAACCTTGGCGTCCGATCCGAGCCCTTCCCGCTCCTTGAGTTTCTCTCCGCCGCTGGAAAGCTGCTCCGATATTTACGCGGGTCCTACCTCTTGCCTGATCGTAACCCTTCTTTTTAATGTTTTGTTTCTCTGATATTTTCCTCTCTTTTTTTATCTGCCATCTCTATCTATAGTCGATCTGTTAATATCCATCCTGTGCACTCAAATTGAGCGCTCTCTTCTCTCTATCAGTACAAGACACGCCCCCTTACTGCTGATTGGCTACAAGTGTGTTTTGGGACTCGGTCAGACACTGCAGTCAAAAGCATTTTTCAAAAATCGCTTAGTGCACGTTTAAGGAGCGGCGGGCCGGGCCGCCACTACTTAGGCTAATGTGCATAGTGGAAACCCTGATTAATCCTCTGTTTACCGATGTCGCCTTTCATAGAGACAGTGGCGGCGGGGCGGGCCGCCACTACTTAGGCTAATGTGCATAGTGGAAACCCTGATTAATCCTCTGTTTACCGATGTCGCCTTTCATAGAGACAGTGAGGGGGACAGATCGGGTCACTATGAATCTGGGGGGGTCATGTCCCCCCCGTCCCTAGTGCCATCTGCGCGCCTGACTGACAGCAGCTAGTATATTAGGCGCGGTCACTTTAAGAGACAATGCATCCAATATAATGATAC